CAGGCACCTGCAGTGAGACCCCGTGACCCCTGACCTTTGACCCCGTGACTTTGACCTTGAGACCCCTGACCTTTGACCCCATGACCCATACCTTTGACCTTTGACCCCATGACATTTGAACACCATGAACCCTGACCCCGTGACCTTTGACTCCATGACCCTTGACCCCGAGACCTGTAACCCGTGACCCCATTACCTTTTACCCTGTTACCCCAATCTTTGACATTTGACCCTGTGACCTCTGTCCTTGGACCCCGTGACCTTTGTCCTTTGACCCCCCATCACATTTGACCACCATGAACCCTGACCCCGTGACCTTTGACCCTTGACCCCATTACCTTTCACCCTGTTACCCCGTTCTTTGACATTTGAACCTGTGCCCTTTGACCCCGCGACCTATGACCTTTGACCTTTGACAGTGTAACCTTTGACCTTTCACCTTTGACCCCGTGACCTTTGACCTGTGACCCCAGGACATTTGACTCCATAACCTATGATCATCCGACCTTTGACTGCGTGACCTTTGACCTTTCACCTTTGACCCCGTGTCCTTCGACCTTTGACCTCTGACCCATGACCTGCAACCTTTGACCCTGTGACCTTTGACCCCGTGAACTCTGACCTTTGATCTTCGACCCCTTGACCTTTGACCCTGTGACCGCTGACCCTGTGAACTTTGTCCTTTGACCCTGTGACCTTTGACCTTTGACCCTGCAACCTCTGACCTTTGACCGTTGACCCTGTGACCTCTGACCCGTGACCTTTGGCATTTGACCCCATGACCTTTGACCTTTGGCCCCGTGACCTGTTGACCTTTGACACCGTGACCTTTGTCCTTTGACCCCGTGACCTTTGACCTTCGACCCTGTGACCTTTGACCCCGTGAGCTTTGACCTTTGACCCCGTGAGTTTTGACCCTGCAGCTCCCTGACTTTTGACCCCATGACCCCTGATCTTTGACCCTGTGACCTATGACTCTTGTCCCCGTGACCTGTGACCCCTGACCTTTGACCCCG